GGGAAGGGAAGGGAAGGGAAGGGAAGGGAAGGGAAGGGAAGAGGGAAGAGGGAAGAGGGAAGGGAAGGGAAGGGAAGGGAAGGGAAGGGAAGGGAAGGGAAGAAGCCTCTCCCCTCCCACCACCCCAAAATCTGCTCCTGGACGACCTGGCCTTGCTATTCCCGCCCAGCCCGGGCCTCAGTGGGCCGGCGCTTTCGGGCTGCCGCTCCCTGCAGCTCTGCCCTGTCCCCCGTGCCAGCCCCGGGGACAAGGCTGGGGCCGACGCGGTGCCCGTGCCTCCGGCAGCACACGCACTACCCGCAGTTCGCCAGCCGCGAGTTCGCGGGCACCACGCGCCGGGGACCCTTCGGGGACGCGCTGGCCGAGTTCGATGGCTCGGTGGGACAGCTGCTGCAGGCGCTGCAGGACAACGGCTTGGAGAACTCCACGCTGGTGTTCGTCACCTCCGACAACGGGTGAGCGCTGGCACCGGGCACGGCCGGGCCCGTGGGTGGCCGCGTGTCCGTGTCCCCGTGAGTGACCGCGTGTCCGTGTCCTTGTCCCCGTGGGTCCGTGGGTGACAGCGTGTCCTTGTCCCTATGGGGCAGCAGTGACAGCGTGTCCTTGTCCCTGTGGGGCCCGTGGGTGACAGCGTGTCCGTGTCCCTGTGGGGCAGCAGTGACAGCGTGTCCTTGTCCCTGTGGGCCCGTGGGTGACAGCGTGTCCGTGTCCCTGTGGCCCATGGGTGACCACGTGTCCTTGTCCATATGGGCCCATGGGTGACAGTGTGTCCTTGTCCCTGTGGGCCCGTGGGTGTCAGCGTGTCCGTGTCCCTGTGGCCCATGGGTGACCACGTGTCCTTGTCCATATGGGCCCATGGGTGACAGCATGTCCTTGTCCTTGTGTCCTTGTCTGCGTGGGTGACAGCATGTCCTTGTCCCTGTGGGGCAGGAGGTGACAGCATGTCCTTGTCCCCATGGATGACCGCGTGTCCGTGTCCTTGTCCCCATGGATGACCGCGTGTCCGTGTCCTTGTCCCCGTGGGTCCATGGGTGACAGCGTGTCCTTGTCCCTATGGGGCAGCAGTGACAGCGTGTCCTTTTCCCCGTGAACCTGTGGGTGACCACATGTCCGTGTCCCTGTGGGCCCATGGGTGAACACGTGTCCATGTCCGTGTCCCCGTGGGCCCATGGGTGACCGTGTGTCCATGTCCGTGTCCCTGTCCCCGTGGGTGACCGCGTGTCCGTGTCTGTGTCCCTGTGGGTGACCCCGTGTCCGTGTCCGTGTCCGTGTCCGTGTCCGTGGCTGACCGTGTCCGTGTC